CGAGGGTCTGGGGGAGGGGGGAGCCTGTCAGCCCCCAGTTCCTAGTTGCGGTCGGTAACACTCCCTCACAGCGTAGGCTCTGCGCACCGTTTTCCTAGAGGTAGGTCGTGAATATCGTGTAACTAGTGACAATGACAAGCGCGCTGCTTTGGGCAATACAGTCATTTCTCTCTCTCGTTCTGAGGAGACTCTGGAGAATGACAACCGTGGTTTGCGCGGTTTTGGTGGCATGGCTTTATCGTTTGCACAGGCTTGTGACCAGCTCGCAGCTGCTGACACTGTAAAAGAACACTCCGAAGAAATAGTTCATTGGGCTTGCCCAGCAAAGAGGGAATGGCTGCCGCTTCTTCCCCCTTTGAGTGGAATTGACCCGAAAACTCAACTGCTTGCTCTATAACCAAGCATTTATGGACAATGATCTTTCCCAGAAGTGCCAATCCAACCACCAGCATTATCAGCACTAGCTCTCATGACAGGCGCTTGCCTTTATGCCATACTAGTTACGCCACAGTCACTAACTCTCAGGGGGGAATCCGATACCAGACACCTCGGGCGCAAAACCCAGTCTACTGAGTTTGCTTGCCTTCTTGAATGCCTCCCTCTACACGTGGATATTTACACTACAGGTTTATAGAACTTTTGCGGTGTGCTTTTAATTAGCTGCTGCCTCCCCTAAATGGAGAATTTGATGATGGCATAGCGAACAAATACTCCGCTTGCTCTGAAACAGTTTGAGATCCTCCAGGGTAAAAGGAAAAGTTATTTATGAAACTAATTATTGGGCTCAGATTTTTGTGTGTGGAAGCTGATAGAATAGTACTCTTAGCGTGGAGGAAGTCTTCCCATTGATGTACAGTCTTGCCTCTTTAAATGACCACCACGTTGGGGTTTCTGGTGGCTAGAGGATTGCCTACTGGTGTTAGCTTGCTTGACATTTTGATAGATAAAACTTTTCACCTTTTGACCTGGCAGGCTGTGGAAGTCACTCTGCAGTGTGTAGTGGGAATGGGAAAGTTGTATTTTCTACACTGAGACTTTAGAGAGAAATCTGTGTATTTATAATATAAACATACATACATCCCCCTGAGCATTTCACTCTGTGAATGTCACACTAGTGCCCTCCCGAGGTTTAGGGGAAACCTAGTGCAATTACTAAAAAGGCAAGAACTCAGCGACAGATTAGGACAATCTGTTTTAACTGACAGCATGTTTGCCTGTATGTTTCATAACAAGATGTTCTTTTTACAGCAATAAGGTTGTAAAATGTAGATTTATGGTGTAGATAACTGTGAAACTAAAGTGTCTTCATTTTATTCTTTAAAATCTTTCCCCATTTCTTTCAGTTGCCTATTAAAGTTTAGATGAATATAGTCATAACTTAAAAAATCAGTAATAGATATTGGTAAATGAACAAGTATCCCCGAAACAAAATTAAAGATACGATATGTAGTAAGTATTTTCATCTCTCAAACATTTAAAAAAATAGTCCAATGACTATTTGCAAAAGGAAAAACAAAACTTTGTTAAATGTTTTCTTCTTTTTAGGATAATTAGCTAAATCAATTAATATTCAATATGAATTGCCAAATTTCTCTCTTCATAGCTAGACTAAGTCTGGTCTACATATAGTAGTTTTTGAACAAGTATAACTATTATAATTAATGGTGTGCATTTTGTTTTTATTTTAACCAAAATAGTTACAGCAGTACATTCTACTACTGTGGTTGCAGTTACACAGCTATAACTTTTTCCTTAATGGGAATAAGCTCAAGCACCTTCATACTAGTACAAATGTCCACACTAGGGGGTTGTATTACTTTACACACAAAAATTGTACTGCCTTACTATGCAAGGGTAGTTAGATGAGCTTGTAGACATAGCTTTAGTTTGCTTTCACTGGACCAAATCATGCAGCCCTTAGTTACATAAATAGTTCCACTGAGTTTAACTTTGACATGAATTAGAAGTGCATGATTGAGGTATACTAATATATTGTATTTTTGTAACAAAATATACAATATTTAGATTTAGGTGGCTCAAACAGGTACCTTAACTACAATATAACCTATTTACAATGGAATTATATACAGTTAAAGAGCAGCAATGATCTTTATAATCCAGTGGTCCCCAACCTTTATGG